TTATGTAGTAATTAATAGAGCTGGGTGGTTAGTGAAACTTGATTAATCATTGGGCTCACTACTCAATTACATTCAACTGCTCAATTATTCTCACATGGTAGTTGGAATAATCTAACAGTAATAATCAGAAACATTAACTGTTTAGCTGATTATTTACATGAAATTAATAGATTTAATAATAATTCTGATTAATCAATTATTGTACCTAGAAATAATTGATGTAATATATGCTTATCGGTAATTGATTAATCACCCAGCTCTAGCTGCTTCTTGGAATTCTTTGTTTAGGAGCTTTTTTTTAAAGTTTAAAAAATATAACTTTAATAATCTCTAGAATACATGAAGCCATACACTAATGCAGAAAAAATGGAAGTTTTTAAAATAGATAATGACTTGAACAACTACTTTCCCAATAATCTTAACATATGAGCTTCATCTATGGTCTCACAACCACTGTGTTGAAATATCCTCCTCTGGTATTTAGTAAAACTCACCAGTGCTTGTTCACATGTTGTTAGCTCAACCATCAATGCAGAGAAACTTGTCTGTTGCTCTGTTGAACAGCCAGCAACAGGGTAACATAAGAAGATGTAGTTTCCAACTGACAATAAAAGTTTGGTATTTCTTGGTAGCAGTCTAGTTACCATGACAGTGTCCCACTGGAAGGGGTCAGTGGTACAAAGATAAGATCTCTGGGTCCCCATGTTGAATTCTGGTTGAAGACCAGCATCTTTTGTATTTATGCACACATATTCCTTCTTAGGAAGTTCAGAATGTCTGGTGCTAAAAGAAAACACACAAACAAACTTTTGTATCCAACTCTTTAAAAAAATCTTGTATAATTCAAGAAAAGATAGCTCAAATCACTAAACAAAACAAAAAGTTATAATAAGTTAAATTCACTACAAAGACCAAACTACTTAGAAATTGTGTTATTTTGTCAATAAGTAATTTTAGTGTCAGTTAAAGTAGTAAGCTTCAGAAATTTAGAGAGACAAAAATTGGGCATTTACTGTTTAGTAGCTCTTGTCAGAAAGTAAGCTTCTACATTTGTTTTAAATTTAACTAGACTTTTTTCTCATCCATCTAACATAAATTAAGAATAGAAAAAACAACATCTGCATTTAACTTGTTCTTAAAACAACTTTTAGGTCTACTGGTCTTTCAATATTTTGATGGCCTCGATATTTAAACCGTTAACTTACATATTCACTAATTGTATTGATGCTTCAATACCAATCTCACTGCTTCTATTAACATAACACATACAGCATTCACCTCATTCATAACGTTCAAACTAGAAATAAGAAAAATCATGCCAAGTAACCATTTAGAAATATATCACTTCATGCTAAATAAAAATGTTACATATAGAACAATAGTCATAAAACACTTACTTCATGTGTTCTTGTTTCACAACATTTAACTTCCAAAACAATGGCTTTTGTGATCCACAACTTAAAATAAGTGAAACAGTTTTGGATTTGGCAGCATTGTTTTGTTGCCCTCTTTGATCCTTGTCTCTGTCTATGTAAAAAGCTCCAACTGTTGTTACAGGAAGAATTAGACTGCAAAGTGGATTGCAATATTTTTTATCTTCTGCTTCATCCCCACAGATAGGCTGGTTATAAACATTGCAGGCAGGATGGAGGTGGGAAGATGGACACAGAGCCTGAAGAGGAATTACACCACCATCCACAAATGATAGAGACTTATGCATCAAATTAACTCCAAATGATAGATCATCCTAAAACAGAGATGTAAAAATTAAAATTTAATTCAAAAGAAAGTGAGAATTTTCATTCTATATACTACCTTTCAAGACTTTTAGAAAAAAAAAACTTAAATGTTTGATAACAGATGTTAAGATAATGCTTCACTAAACTGTGGATAAACCTTTTCTTGTGAATTACAAATGTACCACTTATGAATTTTAATATGTTGCACTATAATCTGATAAGTGGAATATGATATAGTTTGATTGGAGCTCATTATTAACACCCTATAGCTTTCTCCCATCTAACCTCACTATAATAAACTAATTAGTCTTGCCCAACCCCCACCAATGTGATTTTCTTAGGTACTCTTTTGTGTAACACCTTATCAAAAACTTTTTGAAAATCTAAGTACACCGAGTCCACAACCCTTCCATCACCTTTGTTAATAGTGGAGTTCCTCAGAGGTCAGTCCTTGGACTGACATTCCTTCATTATTTGGTGAATTGATGTCAAACTTGGTAGTTTTACACCTGGGTCCAACATGCCCAGGCACCTTTTTCATTTGTTTGATTTAAGCCTTTTTAAGGATTTTTTGGGGTCAAAGAGGGGGAAGTCTATAATTTCCTGAAAAATAAAAGGTGGGTTTAAGTTTTCACTTTTCTTCAAGTGTAGGTGTGCAAGGACAGCCTTGAAGTTGAAGGACTATATAGACCCTTGCTACAGTTAGTTTTCAATTGTTAACTATATAAACTGATTTTTGTATTTCGATGATGACAACTGGAAAGTTATACCATTATGATAACTGATTTTCTAGGACAAAATTCTTACTCTTTTAGCATATGAAACATTATGATGTACAAGCTCTTGTCAACAAGAGAATGACAAACACATAAGATTTAAAGATGATGATGCAATTTGGAATAATATATTTAAAAAAACATTTAATGTTTAATTACCTCATAATTTTCTTTTGCTGACAATTCTTTCTCAAAGAGCAATACTGAAGTGTCTACCAAAAAAGTCTGACTTTTGCCTCATTACGTAGAACAGAAAATAAAGCTTTGGGTAAAAAACAATCTAATAACTTTCTAGGCCCAGAAGATTCCTGTAATTTTTGTCCACAGAAATGCTGTACATCTTGAACTGACAAAGGACACAATGATATTACAAATATATAGTTGTTTTTCTGACAGTCATCTGAGCTGAATCTTTCTGCACAATACTGTCTGTTTCCCTTATTTTTTACAGGAGATATTATATCAGGTGTGTCCCACTGGAAATCACACAAAACATTTTTTAAAGCATAATGTAGAAAACTTGCTGTCGTTTTTCCAACTACACTGAAATTTTGACTGGAAATATTTTCCGAATGTGCTATGCCTTCCTCTTTACACATTATATCAATATCATATTTTATTATATTAGATTCCACAGCACACCTGAATTCATTAACTGTGTCAACTGAAAAATGTCTAAATCCCCGTTTTTCTGTTTGTTTAACCGGAAAACCACGACTGTTGAAAAACTTATAACCCCACGAAAAAGAACCATTAAAGTTAGATCTTCCAAGAAACGTTAACAGCTTTAAACACGCATGCTGTATACCGTGTATAGCAAAGTAGTCTCTTTGAAACGATTCTGTTCTTCTCGTACTTCTACTTGTAGAAGATTCCTGCTCTTCCACTAACTCGGGCTGTTGTTCATGATGTTGTAGGCTTAAAGAAGCCTGGTCAATTAAAAACACAATTCGTCGAGGATTTCCAGAAGCCATAATAAGTAAATAAAATCACTTCAATCAAAAACATACTTTTGTAAATAGTTTGGTGTTGGTAATCTTTACATTATTCATTACAGTTAAAAATATATCAAAAACAACTTAAAACACACCACGTCGCTTCCCCAGCATCGAATTTGAAGTTTCGCGGATCTACAGAAACCAGATCAACGGTGGCGCAACTGTCGATTAAGTTGTCTTGTTTCAGAAGATATCAATATAAAAATATGTATTCACTTTTAATGGTCTGAAACAAAAATATATTACAGAAAAATATGATAATATAAACTAAAGTTCATAAAATAAAAATTATATTTAAGTAATGAAGCTAAATATAGACTGTGGGGTCTACAAAACTAGCAACAGAGTGATAGCAGTAACCTTCTCTTTTGATCAAGGGGAAGTGAGGAGTTGTAATCCAGCGGTTGTTCTACTCCTGTTTGTAGTAATAATTTGGTGTGTATTGAAATATGGCTCTGTTTTCAGCTCGGCTGGCCACTTATGTGGCCAGACAAATTCCAAAGCATGCAATAAAAACGAAGGTAAGGTGTAAAATACAGTTTTTAGTGAATTGATTAATGTTTATTACCAAAACATACTTGGCATAGATTAACCTAGGCAGCGATAAGACTGATAAGTTAAGCCTAATAGTATTAGTAATAATCAAATTTAGCTGTTAAATTACTAAGTATAATAATTAAGTTACTGAAACTTACAATCCATATTCTAAATCTAACGAGCATTTTAATCTCAGTCAGTTAATGCATATATTAAAAAGTTAATTCATTCACATAAATATAATGTACTATAGTATACCATGTCTCGAGAGGCATGATTAGTAGTACTACTAGCCTACCTCTAACTTTTAAATTTTAAGCATTTACATAAGCTACAGACAATTAGGGGTAATTTGGTCTTTAAAGATCGTTCTCGCCTACCCACCCTTGAAAAGAGTAAACATTTAAACCCAGTCATTGTTTTTTAAATTTTAGGAAATAATCAAGCCCCGATATCTTGTTTGCTATTTACATTTTGAGAACAGAGACTAACTATTTTGTATTGAGGTAAAGGTTTGATACATATCTTGATGCCATATTTGTAACTTTTGTGATTCTTTCTCAATTTGAAAGTCTGATAAATGATGGTTGTGGATTCTGTGTTGGTAAACTTTTCTAGCACAGCTGTACAAGTTCAGTTTTCTCTTAAGTGTACTTTTTAAAACATCTTTTTAAGAGTCGTATTGGTGTACTTTCTTGACTATACCGTGTACTTGTTAAATGTGGTTGTGAGGTGTCTGAGATAACCCTTCAATATTTGTTTGTTTTCTTGTCTAGAGTGACAACGTTAAAATTGTTAGATTGGCAGCTTTTTAGTACAGTACATTTGAACTCATTGAAATTTGAATCAAAGAAACCATAACTGAATATGCTGACATCTAGGGACTACCTGAAGAATACAGCATTAAAATTGGTTCCTGTTTGGTGTCATCAGCAAACATTCTTCTGGTTGAGTGAACACAATGTGAAATTTATGCTGTAACATTACTGATTATCAAAATAAACATACCACAGAATAGACATTTTAAACTCTTTGCATTGGATTGTGGATGAAGCAGTAAGATCTCTGGAATGATGGTTTACATTGGCCACATAGGTGTGAACTAAAAAATATTGTTCAATATGAATGTATAAGAAATGCGAGTATCATTAACTTTAAACAAATCTGTTGAGTGAACTATGTTTTTACTGTATATGTAAAATTCAAGAACAAACTTTCTTTAGTCAGCCACCAGTGGCTGCAACATTACTGGTTATCAGAAGGGTGGTTTGCAACGACTAAATGGTCCTTTGTTCTTAGGTTTTGTTATGTTGTCTTTGTGAAGTTGGAAGGTTGATAAAAACATACAACAATTAGGTTTTAAATGTAACTGTAGGACTTTCCACAAATTATCAAAATTTGAACTGGAATTATGTATTTTTGAGTAAGGCCTTTTTGTGAATTGTGTTATATTTTTTAGGTATGTTATTTAGGATATCAAAATTTCAGCTAATTTCCTAGGATAATAGTTTTGTTAATCTAAATGGACTAATATATTTATTAATTTGACTTACAGGTGTGTATTATTTAAACAAGCTTTTTATTCACATTTCTCAAGAAATAATTCTGTGCAACTGAACACTAAATGTCTGAAAATTTCCCTCCAGCTACCCAACAGCTATCTCTCTTCCACTTACCTTGCAGCCAGAAATTTCTCAACAACGCAGTATGCTGCTGCAGGACCAGGTAAAATTGTTTATTTGGTGTAGGTAGACTTAGATGTATAATTTGTAATTAGCTACTTTCAATCAAAAGCTTGGAATAACTACAAGTTGTCAGGTCTTGTAGTTTTACTATGATGTATCAAAACTTCTATGGGCATAATGTATGTGTTTGTTAAAAATTATTATTTGTTAAAGAGAATGTGTGTTAATGCCATTCTTTCTAGCCCAACTCTATTATTTGGCATGATAGGAACCGACCAAACTCAATGTACATCCTGTACTGGAAATAGAATACTAATACTTGAAATACTGTGTACAGATTTTGCTATGGGTATTTGATATAGTTCATTGTATTGAGTGAAATAATTACACTTTGGAATACTGTGTACAGTTTTGATTTCCTTATCTAAGAAAGGATATTGACTGACTGGAAAGGAATCAGAGCAGGGCTACTTGGATGAAAGGTTATCATGCAGGGATAGGTTAAGAACTTTCATCTTTTCTCTTAAGAAAAGAAGGGTAAGAGGTGATCTTATTAAAGAAAGAGTAACTTAGATTTAATTCATTTTTTCTGTTTTTTTTTGTAATGGTTACAAGGTTGATTTATGCAAATGACATTTGAAAGCTTGGAAAACTATTTTTAATGTTAACATAAAATCACCTTGTGCTCAGATTATAGTCAGAGTCTGAGTCACACTCTAACTCTCAATTCATGAACAAATCTTCAGTAAAAATAACAAAAAATTAATTTGTTTTCTTGTGTGTGTGTAGAAAAGACTTGCAGTGTTTACTCAAAGCTTGCCAAGTTTTGTGATGATACATTTAGTACATTATGTATAATTTCACGGTCCAAATGGCTGAGTCCATATAGAGTTAAAAATAGCAGCTGCTGGTCACAAATGGTTCTATTGAAAAGCTACATTGTCTTCATTCGTGGGTTTTGTGGGTGTACTTGTTTGTTTTTAAAAACTGTTATGCTCGTAGAACGAGCCTACGTAGACTACGTTAACTATTTTTTCAGTAAGGAATTCTTACAGTCAAGGAAATTAAGGATTAACAGAATGGGAATAGGCTGTGCCATTATATGTCTGGTAGGTTGAAATACATTTTAGTGATTATTTTATCCTATAGTCAATGATTACTGTGAGATTTCAACACAGGCTCAGTCAATTTGACTGCCTACATGACCTCTTTGTACTTGATTAAAGTCTTTATAGATTTAATACTTCTAACTATCAATATAGTGTGTATATCTTCATAAAATTTGCACCAAAGAATATAAACTAATAACATGCAAAAAGTGACAAATTCACTTACCTCTAAAAATTTTCTGCCTTTCTAACAAAGTGACAAGTTGTTCCAAATTCATCCAAGATAGTCATTAACTTTCACACAAGAACAATATTCGTACTATGAATGAAATTAAAATTTAACCATTCAGAACACATAGTTATACAATACGTCATTTGATAGATGAAAACCTTGACTTTCTATTGGTTATAGGTAATATATAATGAAACGTAAGAGAGAACTATAAACAAATTGTGAAAGAGGGGATGTTACAGGTGAGTGTGGAGGGAGAGGTCTGATTTTCTATTTATTAGGTCTGTAACCAAACAAAATAGAAGGCAATAAAAATTATGGTTTGTTTGAGCAATAACAATTTTATAGAGAGTATTTTACATTTAATTTTTTTCTTCGAGGGGTGGTGGTTAAAATAGGGATGATGACATGCTAAGAGAAAATGTGTCGCGTGGATCACACTTTTGGAAATTCACACAATTGTGTAGAATTAAGAACTTAAACCTTGTATACTATTAAAATATGGATTATTAGCTAAGATTTTATGCTATTATAATTGGTATAACATAAACAAAAAGTAGTTTAATAACATTTTGAATGTAAGACACTATTACCCTTTGTCATGAGCCTTAAAGGACACCCGAGGTGATAGGGTTAAACTGTGGATATACAGTTATGGAATTTTTTCATGAACTTCACAACCTATTAAAGAACTCATATTTTTTTTAATGTTTGACCTTAAGAAAGTGTGTGTGTATTGTTACCTAATGTGATATAAGGAATAATTGAGTAGGACTTGTAGTTTCAGTTTATCTTTAATGTGCCTTGTAATACAAGCATATACAAAATATTTCACATGCTGTCAGATCTGCCTTGGTGCTGGTGATGGCTTTCTGGTTAAGTTTTTTTTTTGGGATAATTTTAAAATGCTTCAAATATGTCTTAGGTTATATCGTCATACAACTTTTTTTGGAAATGTTTTCATTGATAGTCTTTTCTTTCTCAGATTTTTGTGAAATCACATTTTTTAAAGAGTTTTCTGTGTTTGTTACTTAGGTTTTTCTGACATTTTTTTCTATGTCTTTTACTCAGGTTCTGCTGAAGTTTCTTCTATTCTGGAGGAGAGGATTCTTGGCCACACCCCCACTGCCAACATGGAAGAAACTGGAAGGGTTCTATCTATTGGTGATGGAATTGCTCGTGTGTATGGCTTGAAGAACATCCAAGCTGAAGAGATGGTTGAATTTTCTAGTGGTTTAAAAGTAAGTCAGTAAGTTCATTCTTGCTAGTTTTTAAAACCATTCAATATTTTTCCAGGTGTTTTTTTTTAAAAAAAAATTCTGACTTTGAAATACTGGCATGGAAATGCTCATATTGTTTAAATGTCTCATTAACTTGTGATTGTGTTCTGATCCTTCTTCTGTCCAAAGCATGTTTGGATTATTTTTAAAAATGTATGAAAGGAAAATAAAAGAGTAAGGAAAAACTCTAAATCTAACAGCCATACCATTGTTAAAATAATGTAATAAAAGATTTACTTAGTTTTATTTAATGTAATAAACAACATTTTGCAAGAACAAAATGAGTGTTGTGACACTGTAATACAGTATCATCATTAGTGACAAACATGTTTGCAAACAGTAATGTTTGTGTCTGGTAGTTACTGTAGCATCTACTTGTATAGTTGTTAATTATGATGGCATAGGATTATATTTTAATATAGATATTTTAACAGTAGGTCGTATTCTTTCTGTGAAGTGTCTGGTGATCTCTTGAACAAAACAGATGCTGAGAAAGTTAAATAATTTTCATGTAGCTAAGTTTCTGTTATACAACATATTATTCATGCAAGTAACCAGTCACATTTTTATATGTTAGTTTTAAAAATTAGTTTTTGTTATTTTATGTATCTTTTCCTATACTCTTTAGTTGAACTTCCATTCATTTATGTAAGGTGCCAGCTTTTTAACTGATATTTTCTTATTGAAACTGGTGCTGAGGTCTTTTTCACGGTAATTGTGGTCACATGCAAATCATTATTACTGTATGTAAATAAGATAATCAGGTGCTTTCTTGATCAATTTGTAAAGTCAGGTCTTAGGTTACCGATTTAAGTTTTTGAAATTGATGAAGTATATAAAATGAAACTTTCTGGTTAATGATAAAATGATATTTGAAGTTTTTAGTCAAACTTGAAGTATGATTTGTTTTTTGTAATAGTGTCTCACAACATATCCATGACATAGTAAAACAATACAAAAAAACTTAGTAAGTTTGTAATAAGTTTCATACATTTTGTTTAAGTAATTAAACTGTGAGAAAGGAAATATCAGTGGCATCCCTCTGATCTGGAAAGGTTTAATAATGTATATTATTTTGGATTACAGGGTATGGCCTTGAACTTGGAGCCTGACAATGTAGGTATCGTAGTGTTTGGTAATGACAAGTTGATAAAAGAAGGGGATATTGTGAAGCGAACGGGTGCCATTGTAGATGTACCAGTTGGGACAGAGGTGCTAGGTCGGGTTGTTGATGCTTTAGGGAACCCAATTGATGGTAAGGTAAGTGTTTACTTGATACTATGAATAAAACGATGTATTCTTGTGGAGTTTCACATGGCAAGGTAACTGTTTACTTTACTTCGATACCATGAATAAAACGATGTATTCTTGTAGTTTCACATGGCAAGGTAACTGTTTACTTTACTTGATACCATGAATAAAACGATGTATTCTTGTAGAGTTTCACATGGCAAGGTAACTGTTTATAGTTTGTTACTGGGTAGTGAGAATTGATTTTAAAAGTTTTAGCAAAATGTTGTAATAGATAATTAATTAATTGGGTAAATAGTCATCTCGGACTGAAGTTGTAAATAGAAGAAGAAAAAAGATCTTTCCTAAAATCAAGACTTTAAATTCTAAAGGTTATAGTAAAATATTATTTGTCACTGGTTACCTCCTGAAATGGTGTGGTACAGAATTTTGTAATATTGGAGACTTTTCTTTCAGGGTCCACTAGCTTGCACCAAACGAGCCCGTGTTGGCTTGAAAGCTCCTGGTATTATTCCTCGAATCTCTGTAAAAGAACCTATGCTGACAGGTATCAAGGCTGTTGACAGCTTAGTTCCTATTGGTCGAGGACAACGAGAACTTATCATTGGTGACAGACAAACAGGGTGAGAAAGTTAAAATGTCTGAAATTACTCTTTTTTTTCATGTTACATTAAAAAATGTTATTTTTGATTTCTTGAAATAAACATTTGATACCTTTTAAGAAAAAGGTGAAACTACTCTAGTTTCTTCTATTCACAAAGTTTGTTTATTTTGCATAAAATATGCATGCTTATTATATTTCTCTAGAAAAAAAAGGAAAATAATTTGTTTTATCGTGAACACTGGTATTTTACAAAAGGCCTTGTCTGTACTGGATATGGCATGTTAAGTATGGTTTACATAACATATCCTTCTTTATTTTCACTCATAAGTTCTTGAATTTATTCATTTCTTGTACAGGTATGAAAAATTTCATTCACCAGCTTTGGATATTTCCAGTATGGTACATTATCTCTTCTCACGTGTATAGCTGTTCTTGTTCAGGGCTGCCCTCTATATGCAAAAGTTTTTTCTGATGCCACAAGCCTTGAACTCCCATGTATGCCACGATCAACGTGGTTCAACTGCATCTGGCATGTACATCATCATAAGGCAACCCTGCACCAATAGGAGAGCGACACACACCCTCCTGATGTATGTGACTCCTTCTGTTCTATTCTACCAAACTCAATTCTCATTAGGCAGTGATCAAGTACAGATGTTTTTTACTTGTGCTTTTTTTACATGTTTATTTCTTTTATTTTTCAAAGTTGTGATTTACTTCATTTATATACTTGCAACATTTAGTTTTGTCTAGTGATAGTTGGCTGTGATAACTTTGTGTAGTGAATTTTTCTTTTCATTTTCAGCTTTTTCATGGTTTAAGATGGATTCTGAAGCTCATGTTTTACAACTTCTGATATTATAACTGCTTACAATTTCTGATATTATAACTGCTACTTCAAATGCTATTACTGGTTTCAGGTCTGGGGTTCTCAACTGACAATTTTTCAGCTATCATTCATTTGGGGATTAATCATTATATGAAGTGTCCTTTTTCTCCTGACAATATCCTGGTTCCTCCTGCATTTTCTGAACTTGTTCATGACGAGGAGGATTTTGACAGTTTTTTTTTTCCTTCCTTCTTACCTATGCCATGCATCTTCTATGAAATCTACTAGGCCTAACTCAGTTTTTTAGGATATGCTTTTCACGTGTGATCCATTTCTTGTTTTTGTATGATGATTGAATAATGATACTATTTATTTTTTAACGCGACACCTGTCATTAGAGTCACTTGCTTTCCTTCCTTCCCCTGACATCAGGCTTCATACTGAGCATTTTGTTTCTTACTTGAAGGCTTGTGTTAGCATGTTTCATCCTCCATGGACTTCTGGTTTCTTAGTTGAAGGCTGGAGTTAGCGTGCTTCATCCTCCATGGACTTCTGGTTTCTTAGTTGAAGGCTGGAGTTAGCATGCTTCATCCTCCATGGACTTCTGATCTTTATGAGAAGCTGCTTAACTTTTTCTCGACTCCTAGCATGATAGTTTGGTAGAATTGAATAAAAGAGTCACATGCATCATAAGTGTGTCACACCTCCATTGGTGGAGGGTTGTTGTACGATGATTTATATGCAAGATGCAGTCAAACCATGTTGATTGTGGGGTATGTGGCATGCAAATAAATGTTTGCATATAAAGGGTAGCAGTGAACAAGAATAGCTATACATGTGAGTAGAGGTGAGTACCTATTAGAAATATATTTTCACTATAGGAAAATAACAACTTTTTATTCTGGAGCCATGTGAAGTTTCCAGAAAATTTCAAAATTTGTGTCCAGTAGTAAAAACAAATATGGTTCATGTTTTCTTTTTAGTGGTATGAATGTACATACTTACACTGTTTCACTGTTGAAAATATAAAATCTGCTTTAAAATGGCTTTTAATATAACTAGCATTTCACTATTAATCTGTGCTAGGGGAGTAAACTATAAATACCAGGTGCAGTAGTGAACACTGAACTGAATGCTTCAAATGCTAGCATCTCGCGACCACAACCAGTTTAACTATATGCTAGCAATAGTGACACAAAGCAGTAAATCCAGTCTTCATCTACTTGGCTGAGGCATTTACACATTACAAATACATCCAATCAAATAACAGAATCAACCCCATATTGGAAAAGAAATGATGCATCACGTGTTAATGTAAATGGTCTTGATATTGTTCTAGTTTCAACCACCCAGTCATAAAGTTTTACAGTACGTATCTGTTTGCTTTTGACAATTGCTTTGAATTTTAGGAAAACAGCTATTGCTATTGATGGAATCATCAACCAGAAACGTTTCAACGAGGGAAGTGAAGAGAAGAAGAAGCTTTATTGTTTCTATGTTGCTATTGGTCAGAAGAGGAGTACAGTTGCACAGATTGTAAAGCGTTTGACAGATGCAGGTATTTATTTTTAATTGAATGACATTCAACTAGTCTAGGCTTTTGTTTTGTTAACATCATACTGTACTTTAATTTGTAACTGCTAATGTTGAGATACTTAGTAAATATTCTCATCAAGTGACACATAAGGTTTGATGTTGGAGAATGTCCTTGGTTTATTGTTTTAAAATAAACATAGTAGTTGAACGTTTTTGTTAAATTGGGGAAAAGTTGTATAATCCAGCTTTTTGTTTACATTTTACTATGTAATAAATATAACTGTGGAAGCCAAAAATCCACGAAAAACAACTAAAATGTGTTATTAAAGTATAATGGTGAGAAAGCAGGAAATGTTCGTTTTATACAGGCCTTAAAAAAATTCCATATATCGATGTTTTTGTTTACAGGACTTTATTTTAAAAAAAGTAGAATTTTTATAATTTTGTGAAAGGTTTTAGAACTTAAGTGGGTTAACCTTCTTTCAGATTTTGTGTGGTCTTTATTGCTTGGTTATATATGCTTTACTTATCACATACAGTTTTTCTAATTAAAGACTTGTGAAAAAAAATCCTTTAGTATATGTATGAGTGGCACTAACTTGGCATTTTGTTAACATTACAGATGCCATGAAGTATACGGTAATTGTTAGTGCTACAGCTTCTGATGCTGCCCCACTACAGTACTTGGCCCCATACTCTGGTTGTGCCATGGGAGAGTACTTTCGAGATAATGGAATGCATGCTTTGATCATCTATGATGACTTATCAAAACAGGTGACTTCCCATGTACTCTGTGTTGTATAGTTAGGTTTTCCCGTACTGTTCCTTGTTAAAACTAATAAAGTACTGGAGTAAATAGATAAGTTACCTCTACAAATTGCATTTGTATAAATTATGTACTATTGATAATGACTTATCATTGAAAGTTTTGTGCAACATATCATGCTTGTGAGTGCTAACTATCTTGGACTAGAGAAAAACCTTTTAAAAGGAAACAATACAACAAAAATAGTCGTAAGAAAGAATAAAGATTACCGTGAACATACTTTTAAAATCAGTATATTCTATTTTCAAGTGTGTCTTTAAAGACCACATCTTAAACTTTTAAAAGTTGATTCTTCTATTACGAATGATTTAAAAGTTATCCTCGGCCATATTTACCCATCCAGGGCAGGTGGTCGGGCATTTTGTTCCCCACTCTGACACCCCCAAGTGGACAAGAGTAAGAACTTGTTACTTTAGCTATGATTCATCAATGCAATACTTTTGAATAATTGAAAATTTCAACTAGAATTATTCCAAATAAAAGCAATAGATATATTATTAATATTTACAATAAAAGTTATGAACTTTGTTGGCTACGTTACCTATAATTTGGCTGTTCAACATTATGCAGCCAAACCAGTGAATTACTGGTTTTATTAGAGCTAACTGGAATCTTAATTAGGCTATCCTGTTAATGGTTTACTGTTATTAAATTTTGAAAAACAATTATTTTTCAGAAATTAAAAGGTTACAAAGCAAACCCTACCTATGTGATCTTCAGTAGTCGTTATCTTTTTATCTACAGGCTGTGGCATATCGTCAGATGTCTCTTCTACTGAGGCGTCCACCTGGCCGTGAGGCTTATCCTGGGGATGTGTTCTACCTACATTCCCGTTTGCTGGAGAGAGCTGCTAAAATGAACGACCAGTTTGGAGGAGGGTCCCTAACAGCTCTTCCCGTTATCGAGACCCAAGCTGGGGACGTGTCTGCATACATCCCAACCAATGTAATCTCCATTACTGATGGACAAATTTTCCTGGAAACTGAGCTGTTTTACAAAGGCATTCGACCTGCAATCAATGTAGGTCTGTCTGTGAGTCGAGTGGGCTCAGCTGCTCAAACTAAGTCTATGAAGCAGGTGAGTCTGATTTTTAGTTCTAGCTATGTTTCTCATTGCCTACTTTAACTGGTTCTTAGAAAAATAGAAGTTTTCAGTTTTAGGTGCACTTAGAATTTGCTCGTTTCACTTGTGGTACAGTTGTTACTTCTCTTCACTAGGTGGCAGGTTCAATGAAATTAGAGTTGGCCCAGTATCGTGAAGTTGCAGCCTTTGCTCAGTTTGGTTCAGACTTGGATGCATCTACTCAACAACTTCTTAACCGAGGCGTTCGTCTCACTGAACTGTTGAAACAAGGACAGTATGGTAAGTAGAATGTGTTCTGAACTCTTGAAACAAGGACAGTATGGTAAGTAGAATGTGTTCGTTTCACTGAACTGTCGAAACAAGGACGGTATGGTAAGTAGAATGTGTTCGTTTCACTGAACTGTTGAAACAAGGATGGTATGGTAAGTAGAATGTGTTCGTTTCACTGAACTCTTGAAACAAGGACGGTATGGTAAGTAGAATGTGTTCGTTTCACTGAACTGTCGAAACAAGGACGGTATGGTAAGTAGAATGTGTTCGTTTCACTGAACTGTC